TATATCAAAATTAAAAGTTATGAAAACAAAAAAGCAAAATAAAATATATGCCCAAGTACAATTTAAAAGATTAACTGTGTATCTTAATCCCTAGAGCAACTATTAAACTAAAAAAATACGGAGATATTGACAAAAAGTAAATATACTGAAAATAGAGTAAATTGCAATTGCACTTCCTATGCAAGACCTGTGCATTCAAAACTACAACCTTACTGAGATAGATTTTAAAAGACCTAAATAAATAGAGAGATACATCATGTTCATGAATTGGAAGACTCAATATTGGTATTTCAATGATCCACAGATTGAATGCAATCCCAAACAAAATCCCCACAGGCTATTATGTAGAAACTGACAAGCTGATTCTAAAACTTACACGAAACTATCAAGGACCTAGAATAGCCAAGACATTATGAAAAGGAAGAACAAAGCTGGAAGATTCATAGCACCTGATGTGAACAGGCACATAGATCAACACATATGTGTTCAACTGTTTTCAACAAGGGAGCCAAGGTAAACTGATAGAGGAAATATAGTATTTTCAGAAAAGCTGCTGGAATAATTGAATATGCATAGGCAAAAGAAAGAACATTGATCCTTACCTCACACCAGGTAAAAAATACTTCTCTCATTATGTCCATTGGCTTAAATATAAGAGCCAAAAATTGTAAATCTTCTGAATGAAATCATATGAGAAACTCTTTGTTACCATGGATTAGGATTAGAAAGAGAATTGCTTAATAGGGCACAAAAGGCATGGATCATAAAAGAAAAGCTTGATAAACTGGGCATTATCAAAATAAAGAATGTCTTTTTTTTTGAAAGATCCTATTAAGATAAACACAAGCCACAGCCTGGGAGTAAATACATGGAAAACACATAGCTGCTAAAGGACTTGCATCCAGAATATATAAAGAACTCTTAACCATTTGATAGCAACAAAAATGGCAAAAAGTTACCACAAACAGTTCACCCAAGATGTAGAGAGTCTAGTGAGCACAGGAAAAGACGCTAAACATTAGTTATTGGAGAAGTGCAAATTAAAATCAAAATGAGATGCTCTAACACAAGTACTAGAAAGAAAGACTAACAATACTGATAATACCAAGTGCTAGCAAGGATGCAAAACACCTAGAACTTTCATGTTGTTGATGGTCAACAAAAATGGTACAGCTGTGCTGGGAAATAGTGTGATGCTGTCTTGTGAAGTTAAACATACATTCACCATTATGACCAAGCAATCCCAATCCAGATATTTACCTAAGAAGATAAATAAGTGTGCATACAAACACCTGGACATGAATGTTCATACCAGCTTCTTTCATAATAACCAAAAATTCAAAAAATTCAAATGTGTGTAAACTGCTTAGTGAATAAACAAATATAGCATTATTTACCTTCAAAAAGGAACAAAATGCTGACATATATCAAACATGGATGAACCTAAAAAGTGTTAAGGTAAGTAAAAGAAGCAAGACACATAAAGTTATTTACTATGAAATGCATTTATATTCTAGAAGGAATAAAACTAGAAGAATAGAAATGAGAAGAATCCAAATCCAAATCCCAGATATGTAAGTGAGAATTTTAATTACAAAGGGGCACAAAGGGATGCTTTAGGGGAATGAAGAAGTCCAATATGTTGATGCTGTTGGTGGTTACATCACTAAATCTTTGTTAAATCTATAGAATCATACACCTAACAAAGGTGAAGTTCAGGGTATATATATTATGCCTCAATAAACCTCACTTAAAAAAAAAACAGTCACATCTGTATAAACGTATAATGAAAATGTGAATTATATTAAAATATTATATACAACCAAATGCCATATGGTGCTACTTATTAATTTCCTTTTATTAAAATACCTATTAAGCATTAAGAATAAACAATATAAAAAAGTTGTGACCTCTAGTTAATGATATGCCTTTGGCAGTATTTAGGGGTGAAGGGTACCGATCTCTGAAACTTACTGTGAAACTCACCACAAAAAGAAAGAGGACTGATGGAAGGACAGAGGAATCAGTACAGACAGAAGAAAAAGCAAATACAGCAAAATGTTCATTGTAGACTCCAGGGGGAATTCTGTGGGTGTTCAAACTATAATTCTTTCACTTGTTCGGTGTGAAAATTTTTATAATAAAATGTTGGGGAGAAAGGTTCAAGAACAGCAAAGTAAACCCAAAGTAAGTAGGAAAAAGGAAATAAAGGTAAAAGGAGAAGTGAACAAAACGGAAAACAAGAGACAGGGAAAATTCACAAAGGCAAAGACCTTTCCGTGAAAAGCTTAACAACCTTTTGATGAACTTCAGACTTCACCCTACTCCATGGGATTGGACAATTCGGATTACTAGAGTGAGGCCACTCTTGAGACTAACCATTCCTAGAAGATTTCTCTCAGAACAACCAGCGAGTTTTTTTAAAAGATCTATTTATTTATTTGAGAGAGAGAGACAGAGAGCGAGCAGGGGGAGGGGCAGAGGGAGAGGGAGACAAGCAGACTCCCCACTGAGCGGAGAGCCCGATGCAGGGCTGGAGCCCTGGACACTGAGCTCACGACCTGAGCCAATATCAAGAGTCAGACACCCAACTGACTGAGTCACCCAGGAGCCCCATCAGAACAACCAGAGAATTGCTGGGACCTGCCAGAAATTTCCTATAGGCCCAGGGGAATATGCAGTCCCGAAGCAGCTTGAAGTCTGGAGGAATGGCGGAAGAGGAAAAGCTGTCCACCTGCTCCTGTCGTCTCCTCCGCCCGACCCCATGCTCCTCGGTGAGGCCTGGCCGTGTCTCCCGAGCCTCTGAACTCTTCGCAGGGGATATTTAAAACGGTGGATCCTACCTGGCCATGGGCGTCGGGCTATCTGCAGTGTCCCTCACAGTGCACAGAACCAGGACCACCCGGGGCTTTCTGGAACAATTTCCAGCAGGTGGGGGGCCTAACAGTGAGGATCCTGCGGGGTCCACAGGTCACTATGTGAATGCCTTGGGTTAACAAAGACTGTAGTAAGACATGTTTTATTAAAAACAACAATAAAAATAGTGATACCCACTACCGAAAGCTCCCGGGGGTCGAGGCACCAGTTTTGGTGCTTTACATTCATCCACTCATTAAACTCTGACAACCCCGTAAGTTCTAGCATCAGCCCCACTCTACAAGCAGGCAAAGAGGCTCTGAGGCGAGTGTGCAGAGGGATAGCTAGCGAGCCAAGAAGCCAGAAATCCAGTCTGGGCTGTGAGCTCCAAAGCCGGAGCCAGTGACCCCTGGCTGTGGATGAGCACCGAACCTCCTTCCTCTGCCCTCCTCCAAAAGGAAAGATTGTTTATGGAATGTTCCACCAGCCCCACACCGGGACAGTAAGAATAAGATGCAGGCATTCTCTCTGGGGTTCTGTGTTCTAGGCAGAGAATAAGCCACAGACACTTAGCTAGGTTTAGAAGGAGTTACCAAATGGAATGCAGACATAGAAGCTGAGTTCTATTATTTACACTTACAAATGTAACCATCAGAAAAACTACAAATAATACCTTAAAAAGCATTGTGCAGAGCTGAGGAGAAGGCCAAGGTGGAAGTGAGATAAATCCTGAGTTTTCATAGAGGGGAGATAAAATAGAAATCTCCAGAAATGCAGGTATGAAGGGATTCCCGGGACCCAGGAGGTACCCATCCGCAGAATTATAAAGAGAAACCCCGAGAAGAGGCAGAACGTGGAGGTGTGGCTGGGAATGTGCTGACATGACCTGGATCCCGGACTGCCCTGCACGCACACCCAACGTGGGTACGGTTCCTTCCAACAGAACAGGTGTTCACGAAAGGTTACTGGACTCAGGGAGGGGGCTGCGCCTCTGAGCTTGCGCTTCCTCCTTCCAGGGCACCACTGAACTGAGAACGAGACTCCGCCAGTTCAATTCCTGGAAACCCCAGAGCAGGAAAAAGCAGGCCACGAGCAGAGCAGAAATGCTGATGGATCTGGACACGGCAGCAGGTATGGGGTTGACGGAGCACAAAGAGGACACCGTACCCCCGAACAGCCGTGGGGGAGGCAGGTGCAGGCCAGCCCAGGAGGCCCCGACAGAGAGAGGGTGCACAGCCCAGCAGAGGCGGGCTGTGGGGAAGCCGTCGGGGTGGCCGCTGGGAGCGCGCCAGAAGAAGAGGAAGACCGGCGTCTGAAGAGTGTGTGGATCCCCACAAGGGGCCCAGAGCCAAACCAACCAAACCCACGGAGGAGGCAAAGAGCCGCTGTGCCCAGGACGGAGGCAGCGCTCACTGAAGCAGGCCGCCCAGGAGGGATGTCCTCTCCGGGTCCCCTGTGTTCTGGGGAAAGACAGAGATGACACGGAGGACAAAACAGGTGAGTGGGAGGGAGGCAGTGGTAAGAGCAGGAAGCTGACAACAGGCGGAGTCGGGTCACATCTGGAAGAGATGGGGGGACTGAGAAGCGAGGCCTGGGTCCCGTGAAGGCTGACGCGGTTGAGCACGACAGAAGCACGGAGAGAGCACGAAGGCTGCCCGGCCCGGCCGAGCTGGAGGCCACCAGCAAAGCTTCTGGTCCCCGCCAGCTCCAGCAAGCCAGGCGGGATGACTTCCCCGAGGCTGAAGAGGACTCCCAGCGTTAGATGTAAAGGGCCCACAGGACGACAGATAAAGAGGGCGCGTCACACCTACAGCACATCTCTTCTGAGGAAAAGGCAAATGCCCACGGGAGGAGAAACAGCCTCAAAGCTTCCAGAAAGGAGGGGGAGCAGGAAAGGGGGAAGGCCACCCAGGATACCGGGACGTGGACTTGGGACCTGAACCCCAAGCAGAACAAGGGGGCTGCGGAAGGGTGGCGGGGGCGGGGGATGTCACGTGCCTACCAGGCGGCTGGTTTCATCAAAGCCAAGTCAGGTCCCCGAGTCTAGGGACTCTGACAAGAGCCCCCAGGCCTGCCCCTGACGCCCAGCTCTCGCTGACCTCCTGGTCCCCTGCCCTGGCCCAACGGGCCACGTGCGGGCTCACCTGGATAGTTCCACGCCGACGGCCCTCCCTCTGCCCTCCTGGCCTCTTCTCCTCGTCCCGATCTCAAGACCTCATCCGGGCTGGCAACGAGGTATCCTGAGGAGGGGAAACGACACAGACTTCGTTAGTAATGCCAGACGTGTTCCAGAACCAGGGCCTCTCCTTGCCAACCGACACGGTCCGGCCTCGGTGCGGGCCCCGAGGACGGCTCTGTGCCCCTCAGTGCAGACCAGTCACCGAGAGGGCGAGAGCACAGACATCCGGGGCGGGGTGCACAGGGGGCTCTGACTTCCCAGCGGTGAGCCTGAGGCCCCAGCTCATTCCGGGCTCCGGAGGCCCCGGAGCGGGCAGCAGCTGAGGTGACACGAGGGCGCGTGTCCCAGTCACGCTGCGCAGCCGTCCCTCACCCACGGACACCAGGTGGCTGTAGTTCTCCAGCGTGACATCCCTGTAGAGGTTCTTCTGAGCGGAGTCCAGTTGCTGCCACTCCTCCAGGGTGAAGTCCACAAACACATCCCTGAAGGTCAAGGATTCCTGCAACGGCACATTCCTCATGAGCCCGGAGTGCTGGGCTCGGGGATCGGGACCCTGTGTCCCATCCTCAGACTTCCACACGCAGCAGAGATTCAATCTGGCGCCCGCCCCGGGACACCCCGGACACAGGAGGACAGACTGGCTTTGCACAGTGGGAAGTCACTTGCCCAGGGTCACACAGCGAGGACAGAGGGATGAAAATGCACGCGTTCCGCTCGCCACACCCACGTCTTTCAACACGACACTGCCCCGCCTTTCTCGACACAACTGTTCCCTGCTGTTCGCCGCACAATTTGAGACCGTGTAGTGGATGCAATGTTTATGCCCCTAAATTATTTTAAACGTTATAAAGAACAGAAGAGGCGGTAAAGGGAGCTTCCTCTGGAAATGCAATCTTTCAGCTCCCTGACTGAACACAGATCAAGCTGCTAAGTCCAGAGGATATAAGGAATAATAAAAACAAACACACCCTCTCTGAACTGAGGGCGCTTCCCCTCGTAGAGGGAGAAACGCCGCACTTACCAAGGCACACAGGAAAGGGAGGGGGGCAGGAGGGCGGGCTGCCTGTCCTCCCAGGGCAATGGCAGAGGCAGAATAGGGAATGGAGCCTACAAAGGAGTCAGTTCTGCTCGGGGCGGGCAGAGAAGGCTTCGCAGGGGACATAGAGCTATGACAACAGTTCTGAACACAGCTCCTCGGTCAGGACTGTGAGCTAATAGGAGATAAGTACTGCTCTTGGCTCCAGGTCCCTGTTGCAGAGCTCCTAAAACCCTGACAAATCCCCACGTGAGAAGAATACGAGGAGCATCTCGTGTTCTAATGAGGTGACTCGAGGTGAGCGGATGGGGCTGGAGACCAGAAAGGCCAAGCTGTGACTGCAAGCTCTGGATTTTCAGCCCCACCCACCCTTCTCCAGCAATGGAAGAGGGGCTGGAAATGGAGTTAACCACTGATCGGTGTTGCGTTACGAAGCCGCCATAAAATCCCCAGAGCATGGGTTTCGGGGAGCTTCCCGGCACGTGAACACATCCATATTCCGGGAGGATGATGCTT